TGTATGGAAGACCTATTCTACAAGCATGTTTTCCTAGCAGCCAATGATCGGTGGTAGTCGTTACAATTCTAAATACTTCTACCCTTGACGTAATTAGCAGTTCTGCTGTTCTTTTCCTGCTAAAGTCAGGCCAAAGCTCTCGTGCTATCTTGCCCTCATCGATAAACACATAACGTGTCTTCAGAGCCGTTTTATCAAAACAAAATCTGGGTTTTGCTCCCCTAAAATGAGTAAAACTTCGATAAATGCAAAAAAAATGTATGAAGTTAACGAAAGTGTTTTGAATTATTTAGAAAATAAGTTTTCATCAAAGGTCAAAATATGGAGAAGACGAGCAGATGGTCAGAACTTCAAAAACGTGTTTGATGAACTTGACGTAAACGCAATTAGGTCATTGAACTATGTACATTATATTTGTGCGATATTTCTTATTTATCTCGATTTTTTTAGATGATCAATCAAAGTGCTTACGAACACATGAACTTGATATTGAATATTCTGGCTTCGACAGCACCACTAGAAGCCCATTTTCCACGCTCCAAAGGATTAAATCATGCTTGCGAAGTGCGAATGATTAAGAACATTTTAATGGATTTGCATCATTAAATATTCAATTTGATATACTAAACTCTGTAAATAACATACTATTACAGGTAAAAAAAAAACTAGAAGATTAAAGGGAACTAGCTTATGGAAGTATGTGTGTTCTTACACTCCCCCAAAACTCATTTCTAAATCAAAGATTTCCCAAATACTTTCTTTTGATCAAACATTGTAATATTTTGCTTATCTTATCAGCTTGGCTGAATAAAATTTTTCAAACAGGTGTCAACCCGCTTCAAAAATATCTTAAACAGTAAATTTAGTCCTCGTTATTTTGGTACCCATATTGTAATATTTTATTTATTTTATCAACTTCATTGAATACAATTTTTCAAACACGTGGCAACCCCCCTAGAAATATTTTCGGCATTCAAATTTCCTAAACCTCTTTAGTGTGATACCCATTTTGCAATATTTAACTTATCTTATCAATTAAATTAAATTATAATTTTCTAACAGGTGTCAAACTTTCAAAAAAAAAGTAAGTGCGCCTGGGCCACACTGTACAAGTGAAACTTACGTTACTTATCTATCTATACATACACACATCTGCTTTTGCTTAAGGTTATATTTTTTCGCTTTTTTATATCAATGTAGATCCCTACCTCTACCACTGTTCGTTTTAATAACATTCATGTTATTCTGTTTTTCCATTATCTTCATACTCTAGCTAAATCGATTAGAAAATCAATAAAAATATCTATAACAAAATAGATAAATATCGATAACAAAATCAATGAATATCGATAACAAAATCGATAAATATCGATAACAAAATCGATAAATATCGCTCACCATGTCGATAAATAACGGTAACAAAATCGATAAATATCGATAACAAAATCGATAAATATCGATAACAAAATCGATAAATAACTATTACAAAATCGATAGCAAAGTCAATAAATATCGATGAACATCGCTAACAAAGTCGATAAATATTGAGAACAAAATCGATAATTATCGATAACAAAATCGAAGAATATCGATAACAAAATCGATAAATATCGATAACAAAATCGATAAATATCGCTCACCATGTCGATAAATAACGGTAACAAAATCGATAAATATCGATAACAAAATCGATAAATATCGATAACAAAATCGATAAATAACTATTACAAAATCGATAGCAAAGTCAATAAATATCGATGAACATCGCTAACAAAGTCGATAAATATTGAGAACAAAATCGATAATTATCGATAACAAAATCGAAGAATATCGATAACAAAATCGGCAAACATCGATAACAAAATCGATAAATATCGATAACAAAACCGATGAAAATATCGATTATTTAATCGATAGGTCTCGAATCTCGAAAATCTCTAAAATCCCAAAATAGTTCCCAGATTGAGTCTCTGTGTCTCACTCTATATCCTTTCCTCTTTAATTACCTTTATTTTAATCTTTCTTCCCCTATCTTCATCTTTATATTTATCGGTATCCTCATCCTCATCTTTGTTTTTACTTTTATGTTTATCATTTTCTTCATCAACATATTCCCCTTCACCTTTGACCTTATATATATAAGTAAAGTGTCGTTTTTACCTTTATCTTTACACATGTTTGTTTTTGTTTTTGTTTTTGTTTTTATTTTTACCTTTGCCTTACTAGTGTTCTTTATCTATGTACGTACTCACCTTTACTTTCATTCTTGTATTGTTATTTCTAAGTGTTATCCTCTAACCTTTTATTTGCAAGTTTTTGTTAAATTCATACCATACTTATGCATACACACAAGAAGTACTTGTTTCATCACCAACCATTTCCGTTGCTCCATTTCCTTTGCATACACACAAGAAGTACTTGTTTTAGCCCCAACCATTTCCGTCGCACCATTTCCGTTGCACCATTTCCGTGTGCACTTTCCGCTGAATTTGCCAATTTACTCCCATCCAACCAACCGCCGCTAAAGAAGTTTTACGTCAAAAATATTTTCGGTTGTAATCCTTCTAAACCTCTTTCCTTGGACAGCCATATTGCAATATTTACTATATCTTATTAATTTACTTAAATTGAAATTTTCAAACAAGTGGAAACTCTTTCATATTTTTCTATATTTTAAGATAGACCTCTAGCAATATATTGGTGATAGCAGAATTCCATTGAGTGTCGTTTGTATAAACATACATACAGGCAGGCAGACAAAAATTCTAAAAGTTGTTGATTTGGCTTCTGTTGCTCTAATAAAGACCGCCATATAAATTTTCCCTAATATCTACCTCTACGGTACTGCAGAACACAACCCTTCTTTCCAAAGAAACAAAATCAAAGAAGTAATTAACTTTTTTTTACATATGTACATACTTACCTCCTTATTCTAGAACCCGAATTTTCGTAATTCGTTATTCGTAGCTACGGTACGAAAAACGAAAAATCCACATGATGCAACCCTTGCGGAAACATGTGCAGCATTGCCAGCTATCAGTTGTTTTTCGAAGATAGCTGAATGAAGAAAAACAAAGTGGACAGGAATTAAAAAAACACTCATCATGTGCTTGTTTATTGTAAAATTGGTTAATTTTACATATTTCGAGGAAAATTGTGGATTCTGATGTATTTGCAATTATAGCAGCAGAGTAAGCGGGCGTTATGGCCATGGATTCACAAAGGTATGCGGAGCTGTCGGGCATAGTAACCATGTTAGCTTCTGGTTGAATTGTTGAACCACAAGCCAGAACTCCTCCTATGCCTGAAGCTCTGGTTCTCAATCCAGTTAATGCAATAACAGCTTCTTACAAGCCATTGAAAACATGCAATTTGTTAGGTCCACCACCTGTTGCGCTTGCTTCTGCCTTCGGCCGCGCTTAGGGATTATAACCCTTACTAGGTAGAATTCTCCTTTCTGTGTTGCCGGAGAAGAGGTGCTTCCGCATGTCAAAGGTATACAACATTTCTTGAGCATATCACTCCGGCTACGCCGTCCACAGTATTTTGCGCAAAACCCACGTCGAAATTTGGAAAAAAGTGCATAGTGCAAACCGAGTATATTAATAAGCTAGTGCTAGGAGATATGAAACATTATATTAAATAAAATGGGAATCCTTTGATTACACGTGTATGTTAAACTTGTGGATTCGGGTTATGCGTTTGGACACAACAACGGAAAATCGTTGTACATTAACTAAACCGGACCCAAGTTTCTCGTTAAGGGGCAACAAATATTCTTTTTTGCTCGCCTATATAAAGCAGTGGATAAAAATATACGTATATGCGAAAGGCAAATTTATCTGTTTAAATGAACGCCACCAATATTTCTTGCAAACAAACACCGAGATTTACATCTTTTATTTCGCCTCCGTACAAAATTACGCAAAAAAGCTTACTCGTTCGTTTTTAGGCATGCCATTGTTACGAATTTCGAAAATTCGAAAATACGATTCGGATTGCAGCATACCATTTCTACGATTCTTAGCAAAATCCGAATACGAAAGAGTTGCAGAATAGGGGTGTTATATTACTTAAAGTGCAACATCTTTTTACTTTAAGCATATGGGTATTTCAAAAAAGGTAAACCGAAAATGTAAGTAAATGAATTCAAACAGCTTTATAACTTTAAATTTCGTTAAATTTTTAAGAACTGAAAAAATAAATAAAAAATTATATTTAGTAGTGAAATTATTGTATGGGGGAAAAATCTGTCACGTCCTATATGTCAAGTCCGTTACCAAATTTTAATTCAAAATTAAATCAACAACGAATTGCTTCTGATTAAAGATGAATTTGCTTGTAACGGTCCATAATTTGACTTTATTTGAGGAATGTTCAATAAAGGAAAACCTTACAGGATACGCTGATTTTTGTTTATTTTTACATGTACTTTGAAATCACTTCAGTTTCTGTCGCGTCCATTATGCCCTCCTTTTCATCCATTTTTTCCACGTCAGAGTTCCAAGCGCACCTATTTTTTTGTCAACCAAAGGACGGTATAAAAGCTACACAACGTCAATTTTTTTTTACAAGTGACTTCAGTTTTCGTATGATTTATTTAACTCTAAGTCGTACGAAGTGGACCATATGGTATTCTTCATTTACTTTCTCCACTAACAATAAGTCGATAAATCGTTTACTGACCTACATCGTCAACCATGCAAAGCTCCTTGCTATTGTTGCGTTAATCCTTTCGTCGAGCACATTAACTACATAAACGTCTTTAGTCATCAATGAGAAATGTTACCTCTGAGTGAGAAACGACATCAACATTCAATCAACGCAAACATAATAATACAATAAATATGCCGTTAACATGCCAGGATAATGGCTTATATGCACTTAAATATAAAAACACATTTACGAGCACTAAGAAAATTAATGTGTACACAAAGAAGCCAGGGTATAAATACGCGATGACCATCCGCCTAAGGGAAAAGTAGAGCTAGGCGACTCGTACAGCGTGCATCTTTCGTTCAACAGATCCTGGCGCAGTACGCGAAACTGTGGAAGTTGACATGTTTTCTCGATGTCACTCGGTGCTATCCACTTATATCCTGTTGCCATGGCTATTGCTGCTATTTTCAGCACTGCGTAGCACAGAAAGGCACGTGCTTGCGCTGCGTTACGCTCAAGGCACCGGCGATGAAAATTGCGAAACTTTGAAATCGGAAATACATCTTATCAAGGAGGAATTCGATGAGCTTGGGCGGATGCAAAGGACTTGCAATGCGGATGTGATAGTAAATAAGTGCGAGGGACTGTGCAATAGCCAGGTGCAGCCGTCCGTCATTACGCCGACGGGCTTTTTGAAGGTGAGTGGGTGTGAGGAAGATTATCTACATATGTTCGTTCAGCTGTCGGCGTACATTTAAAAATTAATTTGTCATTCTCTTCTTTTTAATTCTTTGCCAATTCATTTTACTCGCATACATTTGGGTGTTCTTGTCGACATGCAGGAGTGCTACTGTTGTCGGGAGAGCTTTCTCAAGGAAAAAATAATCACTTTGACGCACTGCTACGATCCGGATGGTACCCGGCTCACGTCGCCCGAAATGGCAACCATGGATATACGGCTGCGTGAGCCCACCGACTGTAAGTGCTTCAAATGTGGCGACTTTACGAGATAAGCGCCAAAAAGCACAAAGTAAGAAATGCAATTTTTTTCGAGCCTCACTCAAATAAATGCTCAAATGCTGACTACTTTCAGCTTAATAAAAAAATGTGAATAAACGCGTATTTTTGTGGAATTTTAAACGAATTTTTCTGGTCAAATACTTTTTGATGTTGCTGCCACATTTTTGCCTCTAGGTCCCGGCCGTCACCGCAACGCGTCGTTGAGTGATTGCAAGCGAAAGCCCGCAGGCTCTTTGACAGTATGTGCACATACGTTAAATGTGTGTTAATGTACATACTATGTATATGGATTCTTTATGCCTTGCCGAATTGTGTTCGCTGGCTTAAAACGTGGTAAAACGGCGGAGCTGCAAAAAGGCGTAGCAATATTTTTGGCACATGTGATTACGCCCGCGGATGTTTACTTCACGTTCTTCCTGCATTAAATTTTTTTTTGCAACTCTGCAGTGACAGTATGTATATGTTTGTACGCATCGTCCTCCTTCCCAGTTCTATTTGCGCTTGTATTTTGCCACATGCCAGCGTCAGTTGTTGACAGTAGCTTTTGATTAACATGCCTCAAAGGTACACAACTCCAAACTAAAGCGCTTGCACACATTTATATATACATATATATGTACATTAGGGTGGTCCTTTAATGTAGGAAGCAAATTTTCACAACAGATTTCCGAAGCCTCAAACCCTACGTCGATGTTACTATAGTCGAAGATATCACACATAAATGTTGGAGACGGTTAAGGCATGTCGCACAGGGGGCAATGTTCAGACTTCTCCATGGAGACTCAAAAAAATAAAATTTTTGTTTGCCTAATACACAAAATCGATACTACTTTAGTCGAAGATATCGCATAGAAATAGATTGAAGTCGGTTAAGGCGTGTCGCACAGATTACCCTAGGAAAATGTTTTAACCGACTGCAATCGGGACCAAAATTCACATGTGATAACTTCGACTTTAGTAGTATCGATTTTGGGTGTTAAATGAAAAAGAAAAAATATTTTTTAATTTTTTGAGTCTCCATGGAGGCTTCTGGCCTTTGACCCCTTTGCGACACGCTTTAACCGACTCCAATCAGGACCAAAATTTATATGTGATGTTTTCGACTATGGTAGTATCTATTTTGCGTATTAGATGAAAAAAATTAATTTAAATTGTAGAAGAATCTGAGGGGGGCAACCCCTATGCGACACGCCTTAGCCGTCTCTAATCGAAACCAAAATTTATAAGTGTTATCTGTGATCGTGGTAACTAATTACATTCTTCTGAATACGTTTTTTCGCATCATTTTTCAAAAGTATTACTACAACAGACACCGAGTCGATTGATTTCTCTCGTTATTTTGAACAATGAGCATTCAAAATTAGGTGCTTACTTCATTCACTTCGCCGACTAATCCTACTTTTTTTCGATAGGCAATCTATCAGAAAGTTCAATGGAGAATGGTCGCTCTTCGGGGCAAGCAGATGTAGATGATCTCCGCTTTTACATGCCGCTTTGGTAATTTTTTACCAAAACAGGTAATTTGTTTCCTTTTAAGGCGAGTTTGGTAATTTGGTAATTTTTTTTTTTTCAATGTGGTAATTTTTTCAACGTAAGTCTTTTCTTTTAAGTTTTTAATACTAACCTATTACTTATAAAAATTTATGATTTTGAATCTTCTTACAATTGCACAATTTGCTTATGTACTTACATATGTATGTGTCTACCCCTTAAGAGATCCAAAAATTGAAGGGGCTCTTAAATGTAACAATTTGTCTTGACAACTCAGAACTCAGGGTTTTGGATCATTTTAACCTGCCGGAACCATTGGTGAAAGAAAATAATTTCACAGGACTAATTAAAATTTTGCGATTAAATACGAATGTGACCCATTTATAAAATTGTAAAAGTAAATTTTATCTATCGTTTAACGATACATTTGCTGGTTTCATAATGTGGTTTTAAGTTATGTAAAATACTTTATGTAAAGACTGTATGTTACAGCCTATTTCTACAAAACGCTTAACTACAGTTAAGAGTTTAGATACTTTTAACCAGAGGTGATCTGCAGGGTTTATTTATTCGCTTTTGTTATTTTCCTTTCATTTGCTTGTACTTAATATGAGCAACTACCTTCTTCGAGTTGTAGTCTGCCTTTTTACAATAGGCATAAACTGCAGTAGAAATGAACTATTAAACACCTTTTAAATGTTTATAAATCTTTGAGCGANTTATTCGCTTTTGTTATTTTCCTTTCATTTGCTTGTACTTAATATGAGCAACTACCTTCTTCGAGTTGTAGTCTGCCTTTTTACAATAGGCATAAACTGCAGTAGAAATGAACTATTAAACACCTTTTAAATGTTTATAAATCTTTGAGCGATTTTTTGTTTTATGTTTTAAAAATATCTGTGAATTGTTATAGTCGGAACACATTGAAAAGGACAACCACAGCTGTAAATTGTTCATCTTCGTTATCTAAATGCTCTGTAGATGGTGATATGAATTTTTATGAGTTTATGATGAGGAATAACTCATCTTTCGCTCGAAAAATTTAAATAGATCTAAGCTGGTCACAATCCCACACGTGATGTAGTTCAGTCGTCGCCAAAATAATTATCTACATACGTCGAAAAATAATTTCCAATTTGTTTAGTATATTATGCTCTTAAGAAATTGGTAATTTTTTTCTGAGTTTGGTAATTTTTTTTTTAGAGGTTTGGTAAAAAATTAAAAATCTTTGTGGCAACACTGTAATCAAATCGTGATTGAAAATAAATATATTTAGCTAACGTAATCGAACTCTTTTCTCAGTGTACGTAAGAAGGGCCACGATTTACGAATATGCGCCTGGGATGCCCCTACCCTATATGTGTTAAGCGTTTATTACCATTTGCTGGATGTTCTCCAGAAATAAAAATCTGGCATCACCAAAATCCAGCAAATGCTTTGGACGGGGCAACATCATTTTACTATACTAGATGCATGAGATGGACCACGTATTAGCTGTGGGATATATGGTTGGGAGGAATTTATTAAACCATGTTTCTGGATTGTCCCCATCTCTTAACGCTTGATAGAGGAAAGAGGACAGTGACGTAAAGAAACGCTTCTGTGTGTACGGGCGCTACCCCTATCCACGATGTTAAAACCGCGCTTAAAGACTTTAACGCCAAGATGGACGAATAGGGCATATTTGGGCCAACAGTCAGAAAATTTTGTTTTCATAACAAGGAACATGGTCGTGATTACCAGGGCTGGCAAAAATATTCCAGAAAAAGCAGAAGAAAAAGCGCAATAATTTATCAAAATATGCTAAATCAATGAAGTTTTATTTAATTTTTTCAATAATCTCGGAATTAAGGTATAGTACAAGATTATTTTTTAAATTATCAATAGAAAATTACCTTATCTGGTCATATAAAGTTGTTGAATTATACGAAAAACTCCATTTAACGTCAGTAGGTTTAGTTGGACAAAATTTAAATAAACCTAATTCTGCTGGGGAGTACTTCGATAGATCTTCTCTCCTAGTTGTGAAGCCAGTAAGTAGTACCAGTATCGCCCACTTGTCGAAGTTCGACATCTTTTTTCATACACTTTTGAATTTCACCTGTCACCAATACTAACTCCTTTATGCGAATCATTATTTTGCAGGTCACCAGCATAATTTATAGCGAATTTACAGGACAACNACTCAAACTTGTAATACTATTTTACTTACCACTTTATTCATTAACAAAACAATATGAGTGAGCGTGTTGTATATTGGATTCAAATGTAGCAGCACCTTTATTGTTTCACACATATACATAGTGTAGCAACACCTTTATTGCAAGTTTGGCAACATAGTTGTATCGATAAATTTTATGTATCACGAACATCGTGAGGAATTAATAAAAAAAGAAATTGAATTGAATGGAACTGGTTGGTTTTTCTGAGACACGTGGTTAGCGGTCTTAACACTTATCGTTGCAATACAAAGTATATTGGAGAAAATCCGGTCAATATCCGTTCGATAGTTCTCGAGATTACCGCGTACAAAGAATCTCGACTTTCCTTTATACCATGTATAGATATTTTATCTTAGCAATTATGGTAGGCTGACTTCCAAAATGTCATTTGCAATGTATACGTCGTAAGCATTATGGTGCATTTACATGGTATGAAGCCATATGAACTGTTGATACGCTAAAATAGAGGGACTACATGTTCTTATGAGGAATTCAATGGTATCGAGTGGGATGCATATAATAGATTTTTTCATTTGAAGAATTATGGGGAGATACTGTAAACATACTGTTGTGATACTGTTAAGCATATGAAATTATAGCAAGTTGGATTTTCATACATCTTCCCATAAAAAGTTTAACAGATGCAGAGATACCAAGGAGGTTTTTTCCAATTTTGATGCCTTTTTTAATATGAAACCCACCGAAAAGGAGGAAAGCGGCAACTCCGCCATTCACATACATGTCAAATGTAGGAATTTTAAAAATTAAAAACAATAAACAAACAATTTCAAAACAATAAAAAATCTTTGTACTACACCTTTTCCAACAGTATTTCAGAAAAACACAAATGTATTTCAGAAAAGGCCAAACGTATTTCAGAAAACCTCAAAGGTATTTCAGAAAAGCGCAAATGTATTTCAGAAAAAACACAAATGTATTTCAGAAAAACGCATTGTATTTCAGAAAAGGCCAAATGTATTTCAGAAAACCTCAAATGTATTTCAGAAAAACGCAAATGTATTTCAGAAAAGGTCAAATGTATTTCAGAAAACCTCAAATGTATTTCAGAAAAACACAAATGTATTTCAGAAAAGGGCAAATGTATTTAAGAAAAGCACAAATGTATTTCAGAAAAGCAAAGCTGTATTCTAAAAATATTTTTCTGAAATACATTTGCGTTTTTCTGAAATACATTTGAGGTTTTCTGAAATACATTTGGCCTTTTCTGAAATACAATTGCGTTTTTCTGAAATACATTTGTGTTTTTCTGAAATACATTTGCGCTTTTCTGAAATACATTTGAGGTTTTCTGAAATACATTTACGTTTTTCTGAAATACATTT